GTGGTCCGGTAGACCTCCGAAACGGTGGCGACGAAAAAATGGACACTGTTTGCCCATTCCTCCAATGTGAGGAGTTTTGATGTGCTCCACCTACAACCAGTGAAGCCTCGTCAATTTCAGTCAGTCCATTAAGTCCGTACCACTGACTGGCTCGCATCCCGAGACTGAACAGATGAGCCTGAAAGGCATACCCCCCGTTCTGTCTGTTAGCCGGGCCAGAGATATACCCCTAAGGACAAGAGCCGTGCAGAATTAGTTCTTTTCGACCGTAGCTGTCTCAGCAAATTATATGAGCAAGCTGACTAACAGGTATCACGCCAGTAGTATATACGTAGGTCTTGACCTTTTAAGTGTTATTTAAGGAAGATCTCAGCCCTTTTGGGCAATACAGTCTTTCGGGGGTTCTTTAAATAAACACTCATAGAGGGTTCATGTAGGGGGAAGTTACTCAACAGTGGAGTTGAAGGGAGGACGTTAATTACAGTCGAGTTACTTCTTCTTCTTGCGATCAATTTGACTTATCCTAAGTTCATCTGTGCCTCCAGTGGGACGAGAAACCTCCCGCTGCGCTTCATTTATTATCTTATCGAGTTGAACCATACGTTGGTAAAGGACGGGATTACCATTCTGAAGATAGAAAGTCCCTGCGTCCCAGTTCTCCTGGTAATATTCCTCGTCCGGATTAATCGGCAGAAAGGGCTCCAGCTTTCGCCGGAGGCCGCCTACTGTGTCTTTTGTCTCGCCAAATATCCAGGTACGGAAGGCAGGCACGTAGAAGAAGAAGAGCCAAAAGTGGTAGGCAAAGACAATCATCATGAGGTAGATGACCAGATCCTCCAGGGCAATGATCATATAGAAACTTAGTACACCATCAGTTCTGCCGTTGTCCTCAAACTTACTGTAGATTTCCCAATCGAGAAAACCACGTATGACTCCTCTTACAAACATGAGAATTGCCAGGCTCATGTTGAAGATAATGCAAACCCAGGCGTCACGCCGAGCCTCACGTAAGAGAAACGTGACCTGGAAAACAGTCTCTGTGAGTGTTCCCGGCAACTTGTGCGCCGTGTGCAAGTAGTCTATGGTGTTATCCAGTTTACCCACATCTCTGGACATTGCCATGATGAGGAAGAGGACGGATAGAGCTTGTGCGCAACCATTTGCAAAAAGGGTCTCATGGACTGTAGTCCAAAGGACGGTTGACTGTGACCAGGCGGGATCTTTTCCACAAATGTACCTTCCATCTATAAGCCAAATGTTGGATATTATGAAATTGGGCACAGCAGCTACAAAACCACCAATCACACAACAGCACAAAAGCACAAAACATTTAGTCGTAGTGACCGGTTGGTAACACTTTGCCTTTATCGCCATGGCTCGATTGATAGCGTCCGCATAAAGGATATTTGAAACTGTGGCTGAGATGAAGCATTTGAGAAATCGGGACGTTTTACAGGCATATGTATGAGAATATTCGAGAAATATGGGCTCATAACCGAGCCACAGTAGTCCCTTTGTGAGAAACAGGTTATTTATTCCAAAATATATCAGGAAGGCTATTCCAAATACGCACTGATATGCACTGAAGATGTGTTGACGGGCGGATCGAACCAGTTTATTAGAGAAGGCAGCGAGGAGGGCGAGTTCGCCGAGAACTCCGAAAACAACGGTTGGCAGGGCTAGCAGTGCACCGACGCCACCAACAGCCATCATTGTGTTGCATACACGCGTTGCATTTCTATTTATCATGCTATACTGGGCACAATCTATGTACATCAATGGATTCAACACAAACTCAATAGATGCCATTTTGTCCCTTGTCGTCTGACGCGCGGGGCAGGCGGGACGCCGACTATCGATCCGGAAATTAGACTAGCAACCATTCGATTAAAGACACGTGACATTAACGTGCCTCGCCACGGTGGCCTCAACCTGCATACAACAACAAGCTAAACGTTCGCATATTGTATTTTAGAGCACTGGCGGTATTTATGACTGCAATAACGAAATCAAGGCAATCAACGTCTCCGATTCCTTCATTTTATAGTCCCTATACAGGCCTCCAGTAAGCAGTGTGTG